TCTCCATTCCTCCTTGGGAAAGAAAGTGTAACCAAAAGGCTCTGCCAGCAAATCTTCTAGAAGTCACTTAGGGATCTAGAGACAGACACGGATGAAAACTCCTGTACTGTCATATTCATATCTGTAAGAACTGTAGTTGGGCCTATTGAGAATCATTAAGATTGAAGCAGTATACATTTTGACAAATTACCGCTAAAAATGAGTTCCCACAGGCAGATACTATTAGGTTTCTTCCTGCATGGATGATTAGTGGCACCAGCAGTTTCTAATTCTCTTGCAGTGACATAACCATGTAATTGGTATGGAATGAATATTCCCCGTGCAGCCTACAGCTGAGTGATACTTACTGATCTTGCCAAAGATAATATTTCATGTATACCTTATACTAAGCACCTGAGAGGAAACTAGAAAGTGGAAAAAATAAAACTAACAAGGTTAAAAAGAAATGTTTCTATAATTTTATGAAAAATCTTAGAGTTATTTTATGGTTCAGTAAATTTATTTACTTATTTAAAATACAAGGTGGAACAGAGAGATCTTCCATCCATTGGTTCATTTCCCAAATGGTTGAAACTGCTGGTGTCAAGAACTCCATCAGGTCATCCCTTGTGGGTCACAAGAACTTGAGCACTTGAGCCACCATCCACTGTTTCCCAGGAGTGTTAGCAAGGAGTTGGATCAGAAGCAGAGTAGCTAGGACTCAAACCAGCAACTCCCATATGTGAGGTTGGCTTCCCAAGCTTCCCAACTGGTGGCTTAAAATGCTCCATCACAACACAAGCCTCATTGCATCCTTTGATAGGCATTTCTAATCAAAGCTCCAAACAGGAACTTGTTAAAATGGAGATTCCTGATTATTCTAATACACTCTAAAGTTTGAGAACCAGTGTTTTAACAGGGAAAAGAATATGTACAGATAAAATAGAAGCAAACAAAAAATTTAACAAAAAGTAATAACAAAGAAATCATAATCCAGTGCATGTTACTCATTTGGTTGCTATGCTCTCAGTAGGCTGCCCTTTTGATGAAATTTTCAAGTCTTCTCTCAATAACAGGTTTGCTTCCTAGCGTAATATTTTTTTGCTCAATAATAAAGCATTTCTGCTTCATTTCTGCTTCCTCCATAAGGCAGTCAAGTGAAAGATTAATTTATCCAGAACTTCCAATCAAATTAAGGGATCCAAAGTTAAAAACAAAATCCTAAAAGTTAGTGAGTTTTCAGGGTTGGTGGTATCAATATTACCAGGAAGTCATACTTGTAGAGATGAAATGGAAAGAAGAGTTTACCAATGGGCTCCTAGAAAATGGCCTATGCAGCATCCCTGATGGACATGGGTCTCAGGTTCTTCCTGGGAATGTGAATGGAATTAGCCCAGCATGGCATTCAGGCAGCTGCTGGGTGACAAGTGTTAGTGAGTCAAGCACAAATGGGAAATTTCAAAAGAACACGTCAAGGAACGTGATAATCTCCAGTTGAGCTTCAATTTTCTACTCAATAATGCAGCATAAACATAAGCAAGTTACAGATAAAAGCAGAAGGTACACAAGCCTGTAAAACAAGGAGCTTTGGAATATAGGAATGAAGAGACAGCTTAAGGAAATGATAGAAGCTGCAAAAGCTGTAGAGAAAAATCAGATGAAAATACAATATGGAAGGCATTGTTGCATATTCATCAGTCTTTTCAGGGAAACAAGAGAGAACAATGGAAAGCTCATTGGATTCAGAAATAAAAATCTCCTTCCCCCAATTACCCCACCAACAGTTTTGTCCCTGAGGGACCCTCAGACACTGGGCGAGTAGTTCTCTTTCAAAAGAAATGGGTGAGTTAAATTATTTCTGAGCTCTCTTTGGAGTGTAATGGAGCTCGCTCGCTCTCTCTCTCTATATATATACATATATTCTTTTTAAGATACTTATTTATCTGAAAGGCAGAGTGACAGGGGCAGGAAGGAGGGAGAGAGAGACCTTCCATCTGCTGCCTCACTCCGCCAATGAATTCAATAGCCCTGACTGGGCCAGGATGAAGCCAGGAGCCAGGACTCCAACCCTGTCTCCAACATGGGTTTATAACAGGGAGCTGTATTGAAAACAGAACACCAGGACTCTAACTGGCACTCCAATATGGGCTGCCAGTATTGCCAATGGTTGTTTAACCTGTTGCACCACAACTGGTCACTGTAACACTATGTTCTAAACCATGTTTTGGTTTTTCAAAGTGACTGTTATTGGAACTTCAATATCACCTTTTCATTAATGAATATCATATGTGTCTCCTTGTCTTCCTGTGTCTACTCAATGCATTATCAGGAAGAGTAACTAACTTGAAATGAATTCACAGCAAAATCAATTACTTTTTGACATTATTTTCTCTTTTAACTCCTTTACTAGTATTATAATCATCTTGTTTACTTTTCATTTGTTTATATTTTTCATAGGCAAGAGTTTCTCTGTGAATGCTAGGCATTATTTAGCTCCAATAATAAAACTGTATAAAACTCAACTAAAAGTATGAAAACCAAAATATTACATTTTTCTCTATCTGGAAACTCAGTCCTGAGAAAGAGTAGATTTAGGTGGTGTTGAACTTGAGTAGGCTGTTGCTTCCTCAAGGCCCTAGCTTGGAGAAGAAGAATACACAGGTAGAAAGTGGGAAGAGGTGAGAAAAGAGAGACATGACTCAGGATATTGATTTAATGTGGCATAAATTGCCAAAGCATCAAAATACCCATTGTCAAAGATCAGTAAAATTTACATATGAAGTAAAGAAATGATTTGTAGTCATAATTAATTTTGAATGATATTAAATATCAGCTTGGAGCCAGACATTCAAACTTAGGGATAGAGACATAAAAAGAAATTCATTTTATTGAGACACACAGTATATAAAAAGAAAGCTCTTTAACTTATGCCACTGACTTTCTCCATCTGAAAAGTGTGCATCATTTCTTTAATAGAAAGAACAATCTGACTCTCTGCATCTAAATGATGGTCACATGTTTCTAATAATGATTCAAAATTGAGAGGTTTGGAATCAATTTCATGGAGAGGTTCTCCATTCTTTTAATTAGCAACATGGATGGAAACCTTTTTTTTTTTTTTTTGACAGGCAGAGTGGACAGTGACATGGATGGAAATCTTAAAGGAGCCAAATTTCTGGTTATAAGTATCAAGACATTTTAAAAATCCAAGTTGCCTTTTCCTATTACCTGAAATTAAAATATGAAAGACACACTTCTTTGGTAAGTAGGCACTTCCTTCCTACTTTTGGGCTCAGATCTTTGTACATACAAATACTCTTATCAGAGGTACCATATTAAGATGGTATTAATCAAAAATATCTTTCCCAGGGTAGATTTTAAAATTTCTTACTAATTTAAGGATGAGACAAAGAGAAGTGTGCTTTGATCTGGAAGAGAGTGAGTTAGAGCTGGTTCCCCTGAAACCTTTCAAAGAAAATATTAATTATTTCTCATAACATTTTACATATAACTAAATTACATTATTAAATGTGTATCATGTGTTATAGCAATATGTTCTGAATTCTGTGTCTCCTACATTGAATGAGTCCTCATGGATGGAAATAAGGCCTTTGTTTTTTCTTCTACTCTCCAATTTCTGGCTCAATTACTGGCACATGGGACACAGGCAACGATTACTTATTAAATATAATAAAGTTTATTCTGTTCATTACACTTATTCTATAACCATTTAAATTTTTTTGCATTTAACATCCCTTAACAGACAAATAAAACACTTGAAGCAATTTTACTGCTTTCTAAGGCCAAGGACACAGTCCATAAATTAGTATAAGGAAAGCCATCAGTTGATAAAATCAAATATATTCCAAAATGTAGTCCCTAGAGTTCATGGGTAAGTTTACAGGAAAGAATGACTGTCACTGCTAACACCTCTCTGTGTGCAAAATGTGCTTCCAGTCCATTTCTCTTTATAGTTTGAATTCTTACTGAGATGACAGGAAAATCAATGGACTCACAGTAGGCGGAAGCCCTTTTGGGTGCTCATAACAATGCCTGGTAGGTGATGAAGTCATTGAGTGAGAAGGATCACATAGGGCATAACTAGCAATCAAGACTATGTTAAAAACAGCTAAAAACAAATTAATGCTATTTTTAGTTTGATGTAACATGTGATATGACTTATTCTAATATAAAGACATTTAAATATTCTCAAGACAATTTTTGAGAAGTCAAAGTGACCAATGAAAGTTAGTGTGTTAATCCCTAAAGCATTGCTATGTGGATTTTGAAAACTAGCAGACAATGTGAGCATTGAGTGGAAAATACTTTATCCCATGCCAATGGTTTGGCTGCATTTTCTGTTGGAAGTGCTTGAACTCTTAAATTTCCAATATAAAAGAAATTTCCAAAATAATTATAATCTTCCAGTATGCCAAGAGCATGGCTCTGAGCATTCCTAATAGCTTAAGAACATAACTTCTTGGCATATAATATGATAAGAAGTAGAAGCAACATGTTGGGTATTAATCATATTTGGAAATAACAGTTGACAGCTGGCATGGCACATTTAAGTTATAAAATTCATTTGATCATTTAACTGAGAATTTTTAAGAAGCATAACACACTCTATGCAAGGACCTAGGAATATGAAGCGATCAAAACAGATGCCCTCTTCTTGCCAGCGCTCACATTCCAGAGGGAGGAACAAAAAGTATGAAATGACAAAAATTACCTGCTGCTACAATTCTGAAAAAAGTCAGAAGTTAGGGTAGAAAAAAATAGAGTGCTGGTGATTAGTGGGACCAGGGGATGGGGTGTGTCCTGCTGTGTGAAGTCTGGCTGTTAGGCAGTGGGTTTGTAAAAAAAAAAAAAAATCCTCATTACTCAGACCATACCATATCCATGGTAGATATGCAATAAATGTTTATGACACTCAGTAAGAAAAAAAAATCTAAAAGTGTTCAATACAGAACACAAATATGCTCAGATACACAATAAAGGAAAATAAGAGTAATACTAACATGCTGTGTTCTTACCCCTATTGTTCCAAAACTCTCTGGTTTTCTTCTCATCTTTTTCTTGCACAGATGTGTCCATATCCACTTGATCAGGTACCAGAGGGACTTGGGACTTGGGATGACATTGAAGGGAGTAGGCAGAGTACCTCCTTCTTCAAAGTAACTCATCCAAAGCTTTGTTCGAGCAAATTTCCATTCTATATCTGCATGGTCCTGAATAGAAGAACATGACAACTGCTGACAGGTTTCTTAATTAATAAGGTGAGATAAATCTCACAGAGCACCTATAACCTGACTTTGAGTGGTTCTTGGAACATTAATTAAATTGCTTTTAAAATCACACCCAACTCCTGGACACAGTCGTCCTCACACTTTAGTTGGTGGCCTTCCCTGGTAAAGTCAGTTTTCATGTCACTTCTCATCCTTCTCTCTTCAGTTAAACAGATATCTATAAAACTTCCACATTAATAAGACTGCAGTGATCAATTATGACTTTAAGATGAATCTATATTTCTAGGACTATAAGTACATGTTCACTCGGCTTCATAAGATTCCAGCCAGAAACAGGATGTTAGGTCTTACCCCAGGCCTCATACTTTGTGTAGGTAGATGCTACCTTCACAGACACGTTGCCAGGAAAAGTCTTACGGGAATGTGTTGTCATGTGAGTAATTTTACCCACTTTCAAGTTGCAGGCAGGAATTCAGAGAAGTTTCTCTAACAAATATACAATAGGGCCTCTGTAACGCAGCATTGGACCTAGACAAAACCTTGTCCAAATGTAATCAGATAGGCATATGGTTACTGGTTGCCCACAGTCTGAAGCTATTTTTCCATCATTTGTTACTCTACTTTTTTAAACTCTGGGGAAACTTTGGAACATTTGTTTGATCAGATAAAGAGCAGCCAGTCTCTCCCTAAATTGGCCATAAATCTGATTTAAGCCGAAAATCTGGCAAATAAGAGGATGTAGAAACTGTGTATATGGCATCTAAAACTCAAAATAGCTAATTATTAATAATTAAAAAAGAACTCAGATTCTGGAGTAGAATGATCATGAGTTTGCGTCATCCTAGTATGTCTGAACTGCTATATGCTAATGAGTTCATTTGTTCTGCATACATTTCTACTCTGCACAATGTGGATTTTGGTTTAGATACTAGACAGATTATGCACTGAACAAGAAACATCATACCTGGAAAATGCATGGCCTTCATTGTTGCTGAGCAAATGTTTGGTTTATGATTGCCCACAGATAGAAACAAACAAGCAAAGATGTAGACTCCCTCTCCTTTTCTCTCCCCACCTCTCCTTCCTTGTCTCTCCCTCTTATACTCTCTTTTCTTTCTAGATAAGCTTATAGCTTCTGGTCAACTGTACTGCATTAGGAGAAAAAGGTGTGTATTTGCTGCAGTCTCACAGAGAGCAGAACTCAACAGAATTACCCAAGAGGAGACAAAGACAGTCAATTAGACAAAATGTTGGCCCAAGAGCAGCTAATGACTGATTCTGAGATACTCACAAATTATGGGTTACCTTGATTTAATTATATTATGTAATTGCTCTAAGTAGATGATTCCTTTGTTCATGGGTCCAGACTCTGACAGCATCACTAATAGTGTATATTATAAGATCTGGAGATGAAAAATTATAAACTGATGATGACTAAACCTACATTTCATTATCCACCTTCCATCCCCAAGTCAACATGTTAAATGTAGCTAAGCATTGTGTCTCCTAGAAAGCATGCTGTGACTCCCCCATTAATCCATGATTGTCTCCTCTTTCTGATTCAAATCAAAGGTCTCTCTTTTATGCTTTCACGATATTTTCAATATCTATTCTCTGTATTGAAATTATTTATTGATATTTTCTCCATACTATATTGTTTTGTTCATGAGTGCAGGGACATTTTTATTCTTATCCTTAAACTGATGTGTGAAGCTTTAAGAAACTGTGCTAGGTGCACAATAATATTTTGTCAATGAACAAATGAATGAGAACTGACTTTGTTTATGTCCTATATGATTGATTTTGTCTATTAATTGTTTAAAATTCCTTATTCTTCTTGCTTTACTGGATGACATTGAGCTCAGGATAGCGGGATGAAAAGAGAAAACCCTCAGTCTAGATTCTGCTGTTATTGGATAGGTGAAAGTCAAATGTATGGCCTGCCCGTGTCCCAGTGGAGCTTCATGCACAGGATGCTGGGGAGTGTATCGCCATTCTCAATGCCTGTTCTCTTCTCAAGTTTTAGAGTCTATGCTAAACAAAAATGACGATTTGAAGATGATTCTCATATCTATAACACAGTTACCTAGAAAAATACCCTCCACAAAGAAACAATATAAAATGTTATAGTATTCTTCAATAATGTTCTCTTCTTGATGAAACTGGGATGTTTAATGTTTCATGGAATCCAAATTATTGGCAGCTTCTCTGTAGCTTGATAATTGTAGGATTTCTAATCTTTTTTATATTATAAATGTTGTGGAAAGTGGATTGCATTTTGGCAATATGTTGGCTAGAGAAACTCAAATTTTGGAACAAATATACAGAAGCCATTTGTAAAATTCTCAGATTTTAAGATGCTTAAATGAAGCTCTATATATCAAAGTTCAACTCATAGGAGCAAGGCTTATCCAGAGGAACTATTATGGATTGGAAATACTTTAGTCTGTCAATCAGTTAAATAAAAGTAATCTATTCTCAAGTTTCAGGCAGTTTGTTTTTAAAAATCAATGACATTACTTTAAAATAAAAATTTGCCCCCATAAAGATAGTTTAAGTAAAATTTAGAGTACTTCTTGAAAAAAAAAGTAACCCCCAAAGTCTCAAATATAAAATATAAAATCAGCAGTTTATGGAGAAAATGGACAATCTATTAATATGCTTATATGTCATTTGTCTAAGGTGTAGATATGAAGGTCCCAAGAAATATATTTCATTCCCTTATGAAATTTGCTTTGTTGCTATACTTACTGATCATACAAATGTATCACTTCAAGTGGATAAAGGGCTTTGTCTTTCTTGTCCATTGTTGTGTTGTTACTCAATAAATATTGGTTGAATGAATAAAAACATTCAGCTAAGTGTTTTGATTTCCAGATTTCAACTTAGATACATACGGTGTATTTTTCTTCAGAATTCAAGGTTACTGCTACATCGTTTTTGTAAGCTTTAAGAAACTGAAAATTCTGGTTTTTTTCCCTTGTCAGATTTCTCTATTAGCTATTTTTTTTGTATCTTGTCAAGTTGACCCAAGTTTGCTTATATTGAGCTGGTATGTTAAATGGGCAGAGATGACGTCAAACCCAATGGGTACTGCATCAACAGAGCTGCCTGTTTATGAGTCACACATCTCTTTCTTCTTGTTACAGCCAATGACATCATGGCAAGATATTTAGCTTATTTTATAATCAGATATAAAATGGCATAACTATAATAATACTGTATATAACTATATATGGTGTTGATACTGCTCTAAAATTTCAAATTAATTATATACACATAATTCTTATTGTAAAACAGGTAACTATGTATAGATTTTATTTCCTATAATAACAAGATGGAGTAGAGCTAGGAACTGAATATTCCAGGTGAAATACTGAATTAAAATAAAGTTAGTCAACTTACAGCAATAAGTTGGTAAGAATTATTCATCATAGCTATTAACATGTTGAGTAAGACAACTAGAGAGATGACATTGTATGTCCCAAACATGGTGGCACCAACAAACTCAGTGAATTCATGCTGGGCTTTAACATTGGTCACATATAAATTGATGAGCCCAAATATTGACCAAAACAGGGATTGAAGTGTCTCAAATAACCTGGAATGGAGATAAAAGGACACTATTATTGATTTCAATAGAGCCATTATACAATAAGATAAAACATTAGAATTTGAAACTATGTATGTATAGTTTATGTATGTTATGTATAGTAGATCACTTAAAAATACATATTAACAGTATGAAAAACCTTTAAGGATAATTATAAAATCAAATTTGGTAAAAATAATTAAATGGCATTTTTATCAAACTAGCATAAACAATGTACTTGATTTTTCTAGGTGTACTTAAGTTTCCTATATCTTTGAGAGCTACAGTTAGTAACCAAGGGCAGTGGATTGCAGAAAAGGACCAAATCCAGTTTCTGCAAGCCATGAAATTAAGAATGGATTTTGTTTTCTCAAGTGGTTGGGAAAAATTAAAAAAGTGATATTTTGTGACACTTGAAAATTAAATTTTAATTTTAATGTCGTAAATGAAATTCTATCAAATCACTTTCACTCATTTGTGTTGTTGTCTGTTTTCTTTGCAGTAGAGGCAATGGCTAAAGTAGGTAGTTGCATCAAGGTACATATATCACCAAGCCTAAAATTTTTATCATCTGCTTCTTTCAATAGAAAATTTATTGATGTTTATCCTAGGGGACTGAGTGGTAGTTAATTAATGATATATCCTAAAGCTTAGGTCATGTGAGGCAAAAGGTAAAAAGTGAAAATGTTCAGGTTTCCTTTCTAAGAAACTTTACTTTAGAAATAGCAAGAAATTGAAGTAGTTTCCAGGAGGGGTTGTGATGACAAGGTTGTGATATAAAGCTAGGGAGATTGGAAGTAAGGAAGCCAATGATTTGAGACTGTACAAACTAAGCAGTAGAAAATAGATAATGAACACACATGGAGTAACAGAATCATATCCATGCTGATGCACACAGCAAAACTTCCATGTCCTAACACTATGTCCACTCCTGTTTTCCCTGCAGCTAGGTTTGGCATTGCGGTCTGCTTTTGTGAAGATCAAGGATCTTAGAGGATCAAAGAACTGAGCATGATTCTAGTCCAGAATCCAACCAGAAGAATCTAGCTAAATATGCCTGAATTAGCATTTAAGACTTAATTTTCCCAAATTTATTACTTTCTTTAAAAAAGTCAATAGTTTCATGTTTTAATTAAACAACTAGTTGTAGCATATAAAATTTAATCATTTATGATTAAAAATTTATTAAATGTCAGTTTGCTGCAAACTTTTTGAAACCCATGCATAATTTTTTTTCATAATATGAAATTTCCATCAACTTTCTGAAAGCCCCTCACATTAACTTTCTAAAACTGTTAAATGATGGAAAGGGTTATTATAATGTAGTAAAATCAATTACTCCTGATTTGATCAATTGCAGTCAGGTTGTGTTTTCCACATCAAGGTATCGTGAACTGTGGATGGTGGTAATAACTTATTCCTGAAGGACATCCCAGATGTCAGATCCCAACAGAGTTAGAATTAAGTCCAAATCACTAGTCTGAGACAAGGGTCACTGGAAATTACTCTTTGAAAAATTCTCAGGAAAAAGTAAATTTGGCATTTGCCCTAAATTCTTTATTTTTAATAACTTAAAGACAACTTCTAAAATTAACAATAATGCCCTTTGAAATTTAATGTGAAATTATTGTGTTCTTTCTTTCTAAATAGTGTGTATATTTGTATACAAATATAATTCAGTTAGTTTTCCCCTGACATGAATAGCAGTTTAGAAACAATAACATTTTAAACAGTATAAGTTATATAATAGATTATATAAAATATTACCACATAAATCCCATAGCAGTGGCTTTTTGAAATGCTCAAATATAACAGTGATGCAGAATAAGTGGTTTGCTATAGTTGAACAGTACTTACTTGCTTCTAACTAAATAAGAGATGATTTTAAGGAAATGTTAGCAAGCCTTTTGGCAAAGTATTTAGTGACTAAAATTTGAATTTGAAAGGGGAAATTACAATAAGAGACATTCTGTGAATATCTATAGATTGTGTTCTTTCTTTTATTTACCTTTTTTCTGTGAAATGAATCATTGGTAAGATTTGCAGAATTATTCTCTGCAACTAAAATATATTGAGTGCTTAGATGAATTGAGTCCTTGATGTTAAGGTATTTCTGTAAGAATCATAATTTCTTACATGGATTTTTGCAAAGGCAATATAGGTTATCATTTGAAAGCCATTGCCTCTAGAAATGTTTTTCATCATTAGTACCCCCAAATGTATGGAAAGCAATTTTTCCCGTACATTCAGGCATCATTAATTACCTTACTTCTCAGAATACCTTTATGTGACTAATATCTTCCTTGTTCTGTGGATTGTATTACTAAGACAGTGTCACGACTTCATTAGGAAATATTTGGCACAAAACCTATGTTGAAGACTAAATCCTGATCGTTTCAATGGGAAGAAGTTTTGCCTTCTTAAGGATTTACATTTTGTGTGTTGCTTTTTGAAGATATTTTTCCACTACTGTGCCTTCACATTAGCTAAGCTTTTGGTTAAATATTCACAACTGGAGAAACTGAACAAGTTAGAAGGTAATGTACTCCACAGTTGAGATTTTCCTCTCCCCCATGGGAGTAACATGATGAGCAAACATGAATACAAGGCCTGTCTGAATATTTTATGTTAGTTTATAACCATGAATAAATATTAAAATGAATAAAATATGATGCTAATTGGCCAGTTCCAGCAATTAGGAATACAGCTCCAATACACATGGAAAAGATTTGCTTAATGAGAAAATAACTGCCACAGTGGCAGGGCCCTTCTTTTTATAGGAGAGCCCCTCACCAAGGATTGCAACCTTAACTTTATAAATAGAATAATTTCAGTGACTAAGTATTCGTATCTTTTAGTCACATGTTGTTCTTCATATGTTAATGAGGAAACAACCTGAAAATATGAAAAGAGCAGAAAGAAGCTTCCACTTGTAGGGGAAGGGAGAAGCACAGTGAGACACAAAATCGCCTGAATCACATTTTGTGCCCACCTGGAGATCAGAGTCACACAGGGCATTCTGGAAAAGTCATAGTTGAGGTAGGATTTGGAGAAAAGAAATAAAATACTGCCAAGTGGGAAGACAGAACACGTGCATTCCTGAACAAGGGAAAAACGACATGTTTGGGAATTTAAACCCATTAAAAAGTGCTGAGAGAAAGTGTCATTGAGGAATTGCAAACTATGAGACTGGAAATGGAGATTAAGGGCAGATGATTAAAGGATCTAGAGTGTCAGTCTAAGCAATGTGGCTGTATCCAGCAAGGAATGGGAAGCTGTTTGAATACATTGAACAAGGAGCCTTAGATGTTGATTTAGAGACAGGAGTGGGGAATGTCTGGCATATGGGCCACATAAGACCCACAAAACCATTTTGTCTGGCCTTACCAAAGACAACCACAGGTGGGACTCAAAATTCATTGCATCCTTAGCAGTTTAATTTTTCAATTGTTAATTTTGTATGGCCTGTGATTGACATTATAAATATTTTAATGACCTTTGCAGAAAAAACTTCCCTATCCCTGGATCATTCAGGAATAGGATGGAGGGCCTAGGAAGATTGTGAGACCCCAAGGGCATCGTGTGTGTGTGTGTGTGTGTGTGTGTGTGTGTTGGATTTAGGTCTGAGTAATGATCAAGAAAAGACAATGCCAAGATAATAAAGATCAGGTATAGATAGCCATTGACCACTCACCTGTGGAAGGGATGGGGGAAGCACAGATTTTGATTTAAGTCACTGGGTAGATTATGATAACACTGATTAAGAAAGGGAATTGAGAAGGAAGAGTAAGTTTCCAGAGACTGATGAGTTCTGTTTGAGTTAAAGTTACTAGGAGACATGTACAGAGAGGTGCCTGTAACTGTACAACTTGGGGATAGAGAGCTGTGCTAGTGACATGAACATGGAAGTCATCTCTTAGACACATAGGGTTAGATCCATGAGGACAGATAAGTTTTCATAGGAATATGGTTAAATAGGTCTGAGGTTAGTATGCTAGGGCAAGCCAGTATTTAAATACTATATTTAAAATATAATTATCAGAAAAAAGTGAGAAAGGTTAGATAAACAAGTATAATGGGCAAAATAGAATGGAAGTTAAAGTAAAACACATTCACAAAAAAGAAGTGTTAAACAGGGCCAAATTAAGCAGATACATTAAGTGCCCATAAGCAGTAGTGATAAGTAGGCGCTAGAGAATATTGACTAAAGTGGTTTTAGTGCAGTAATGGAAGCACAAGCCAGCTGGCACTGGAATGAAGAAAGAGTAAGAATTGAAAAGATATCTTTTTATAGACATCTTTTTGGAATTGATTGGATAAAAGGAAGGGGAGAAATAAAAATGGTAGCTAATGGAAATAGAGAATCAAAGTTCCTGCATGCTTTGTACCAAGTGGAAAGAGTGTTAGAGAAGGAACCTTGTGATACAGGTGATATAAAATACTCCACTATTAACAACAGTGATAAGGATAAGAAGAGTGGCTACTTTCTTGATGAAATGATATAATAGTCACCATGTTAGGGACTGCACATGAATTATCGTGGCTTTTAAGCCTGATATGGAATAAGATCTTGAAAATGAATATAACCTAAAATTTATGGAAGACACAGAATTACAGAAAGAAAATTGATGACCAACAAGAGTACAAAAATCAGATGTGGAGCAGGAGCCTTTAGGACACTGCACAATGATTGATGTCCATTACACAGAAACAGAGTCTTCCAGGGACAATGAACTGATGTCTAGTGCATTATCCTTAACAACACTAGAGATTAATAGCAATGTTTTATTTTTAATATTTTTAAGTAAAAATAAACTGTTACTTGCAGATTTATATTCCATTTTCTTGATAAACAGAACTCAAGTGGAATATCTGATTTATTTCAGCTGAATGATTTGGACTGATAATATTTGTGGTATCCAGTTATATATTGCCTTTGATGATAATGAAGGAAGCCATTTGTATGGACAAACCAAAACAATACAGAATCCAAACTATCCAATGCATTTGTTTTTGGAATATATTTATATTAGATATTTTGCATCACAGATTTTTTATCCATAGTCTTTTAGGACTGATGTCATAATTAGTTTTTACCAAGGAGCCAATAATGGGGTAAGAGAATTACTGGGAATTATAAGGGGTCATAAGTCAGGGCAGCAGTAGAGGTAGCCTTGTTGATTGCAGAAGAATGAAATAAGTGAGCAGCATTAAATCTTGGAACCAGAGTTTTTCCTAAAGAAAAGAGGACCTGGCAGGTAACAGAGCTCTAGGTGCAATGTCACAGTTCTTCCCAGAAGATAAAGCATGGAATCAGAAGGATATGGCAACAGACATAGATGGGGTAGTCTTGGCAAGGAGTTTGCAATCAGGGTATGCAAGAAAAAGTAATCAGTGAGTTGTGTAGGATGGAGCTGGGTAAAGAGCTCTGTGTCAGAAATCCAGGAGGCCAGCCAACACCTAGACAATACCCAGGAAGGGTGCTAAAGACATAATTCTCATTTATGAAAGGCAGGGTTGCTGAGATTTGACCATTATAAATTTCTAGTCCTAACTGTTCTGGAAAACGTAAAAAGTCAAAGACCAAAATGAGGGGATGGATAAGCTCAGATATCAAAACTGAGATGCCTTCCAAAGCTATGGTAACTAGAATGATGTCCAGTAAGAGCTTCCCCTGAATCCTCCTGCAGGAAGAAGACAAACAGGGCTGAGTGAGCTGGTCAGAAGAGGGGATAAGGAGCTGGGAAGAAGGGATAAAGTCACAAGGGGAGCTGGGACAAATTTTTGTTTCTTTTATCATTAGTGGTTTGTATCAGATGTAGCTCAGGCTGAGATTAAAATTTTACGTGTAAATAAACAAATGTTGATTATTCAAAATTAAGCTTTAATATTGAGATAGAAGATGAAACAAATGTGGAATTAATACAACAAGAGCATTTTGGCCCTAGTGTGTTTATTTTATGTGAAATTATTGTCTTCTTTAAAAATATTGTGCTGTATTACATTCCATACAAATCTATGATGGCCCAAGTAAGGTTTTTAAACATCACCCACAAATGACGTTATATTTACATGTGGTTACTATGTAGAGGAAAACCACAAAGTTTTTTGAATTATCTATTGGTTAACTATTTATCATGGTGGGAAGAAATGGACCCAGGTATGCAGAGGGGTGTTCTATGAGAGCTGCTCAATTGTGAAACACAGTGCTCAGGAGCCAGGGTGGCTGGCAAACTTGCTCATGAGAATTGCCTTGGCTTGACAATGAATCTTGCCTATTACTTATCCAGGTATAAGGGCATGGAAGGTTTTGTATACAGAATAATATGGCTATATAAGTCTTGCATTTCCATTTTGGATATTTTAGATGCTTAAATTTCTTTGTAGAGAACTAGAGAATAAGAGCGACTATTAAAGGACTGAAGGCCTTAGGAAACCATGAGGGAACTTTTAAAAGAACTTAGATTTTCTAACCTGATTGGTTTTACATATTTTCTATCTTTCAAAGTCTGAGTACTTGTAAGCTATCAATAGTACATAGCTTTCTTTTTTTATTCCAGATTCTTAAGGAGTATGAGGTCATTTAAAGAAAAGATGACTTTACTAAACCTTAAAATAAATGTACCAGGTATTTCTTTAATGTCAGAAGGGTTTATTTCTATTCAAAGACATGTTAATTCTGTTTTCTGCATTAAGAATAATTTTAATTCCCCATTTCCTTTGCAACCATTTGTCATAGGTTTTTTCAAATTCATGATGCAGTACATTCCAAATTCTGTTCAATGTTACCAATAGAAATGTGTATCCAACTTACGTTGAAAATGCATTATTCTGCTTTTCACATCGTATGCCTTTGCAGCTTAACCCTTTCGTTTCTTCATAATAGAAGTACAATTGATTAAGGCCATTTGCAAATGCTAGTAACACAAGGCAGTATATGAACAGAAACTTCAAAATGTCCAGGAGCATTCTTCCCAGAGATATTTGCAGAGGTCCCAGATGAGAATTTGCAGTAAATAGTGAGATCAGACGCAAGGAACTGAAGATGTTTGCAATAGCAAATAAAGCCTCAGCCACCAGAGTGGGATGCCACATGTCCCAAGATTCTCGTGGATTAAGAGCACTGTACTGGAGAAACAAAGGGGAAGTAAAACATACACATACATATGAAAATATCAAGTTCACACTCATGATGCTTTTTTAAGTAGAGCCAGCCACAATGGCCTATTGTCAGGAAGCTGCTGTTGTCCAGGCTGGTGATGGCTATATAAATCTATAAATATAAATCTATAAAAAATTTACTGATTTATCATCTTTGAGTTTCATTCAGGTGTGTTTTTTCATTTATAATTTTTGAGGATATATTAATTACAGTTATCCTTGAATTTTCTAATGGAGTTGAGAAAATGGAAAATATTATGGAGGAAATAAAACTCAGTCTTATTTTATACTAAGGAAAGGTAACAATATCATGATAGTAAGACAACTGTATTACAAAGGAAAAACATTAAATTTTGAAAAAAAAAAACCAAATAAAATGACCTTACTAATTCCACACAATTGCCAATTATTGAGGAATACATGTAGAATAGATTGCTTTAAAATTAGTGGAAGTAGACATTTGTTGCTGTGGAAACAGAAAAATGATCACTATGGGCAAAATTAGCAGTGCTTTGTATCTGGGTTTTTCTAACTGTGTATATAGTCTAACTTAGAAATCACCCTGGTGGTCACTAAGTTAGCAATTTTTTAGCGTTAGGATGTAAGAAAATGCTACTATCTGAACATTCGTTAACAAGATAAAATATGTGACTCAAAAATATCCACTACAGGGACCGGCGCTGTGGCATAGTGGGTAAAGCTGCCACCTGAAGTGCCGGGATCCTATTTGGGTGCCAGTTCGAGTCCCAGCTGCTCCACTTCCGATTCAGCTCTTTACTATGGCCTGGGAAAACAACAGAAAATGGCCCAAGTCCTTGGACCCCTGCACCTATGTGGGAGACCCAGAAGAAGCTTGTGGCTCCTGGCATCGGATCTGCACAGCTCTGACCATTGCAGCCAATTGGGGAGTGAACCAGCAGATGGAAAACCTCTCTCTCTCTCTGCCTCTCCTTCTCTCTCTGTATATCTGACTTTCAAACAAAATAATTTTATCTTTAAAAAGTATCTGCTACATTAAAAGTTGATCAGAAATGATTTAAAGCATATGAGATCACTTAAAATTTTAGCTTTGAATTTTTAGTATTGGGCTTGAGCTGTGACACAGTGGGTTAAGCCACTGCTTGTGATGCCAGCATCCCATATCAGAGCATCTGATCAAGTCCTGGCTGCTCCACTTTCAATCCAGCTCCCTGCTCATGTGCTGAGAGGGCAGAAGTGGAAGCTGGCCCTTGTATTTGGGACCTTGCCAGCCATGATTGAGACCTGGATGGAGTTCGTGGCTCCTGGCTTCAGTCTGGCCCAGGCTAGGATGTTGTGAACATTGGAGAAAGAATTAACAGGTGAAAGCTCTTGTCTCTGTCTCTCTCTGTCTCTCCTCACCCCTTTGCCTTGAAAATACATTAATTAATTAATTAAAAAAGAATTTTAGATACCGAGACATATAAATAACTCAATGAAATATGTCCTTGGCATTAGTGAGGTAGATCTGTATCCTATGGTAAACAGGGTCAAATATATTCTGAAACCTTTGGTTGGATCTGTATTAAAACTCAATAATCAATCAAAATCTTTTCTTCATACATATTATTAAAAATATGTCTAGACAACAGGATCTTTTCCCTAATGATTATGGGGAAAACAAAGAAAGTTCTATTTCTGTATGAATCACATCAGAATATTTCCATTCTTTTTACAGTGCATTTTGCACCAAAGACCTCTACATATATTAATCAAGTAATTCTCCTTGAGTCTTTATTCATCTCCCTGGGGAGAAAACACATCACAATGTTCCGATCTTGTTCAACACTCAGACTCTTGCTTGATTGACAATTTAAAACAATCAAGTTTGAACAAGAAGCAAATTATTTTCTATTTTTAAATTTTGATAAATGTTCTTGAAAATTCCCACACATAGCTTCAGCATAAAATAGCTAATGATTGAAGATGCAGGGAGAAAAAAAATAAGTTTTTTTTCTTATTCATTGTATCAAGTTTCAGAGTGACTTTGGGATACCAAATACTACCTACTGCTGGCGCCACGGCTCAATAGGCTAATCCTCTGCCTGCGACGCCGGCACCGCGGCTTCTAGTCCCGGTTGGGGCACCAGATTCTGTCCCAGTTGCTTCTCTTCCAGTCCAGCTCTCTGCTGTGGCCCGGGAGTGCAGTGGAGGATGGTCCAAGTGCTTGGGCCCTGCACCCGCATGGGAGACCAGGAGAAGCACCTGGCTCCTGGCTTCGGTTCGGCCATTGTGGGGTGAACCAACGGAAAAAGGAAAACCTTTCTCTCTGTCTCTCTCTCTCACTGTCCACTCTGCCTGTCAAAAAAACATACTACCTAATTCATCCAGTCCCAGTTTTTATGATACCACCTTTTCCACCAAAAGTCCAAGATCACATTCAATTTTTACTCTCTTTCTTTACTTCTCTCTTGAAAGACACATGCATTTAAGTAGAGAACAACTCCCTCCATGTTTATGGATAATTTTATTTCTCTTTTTTACCTAACATAGCTTCAGCTGTATCTCAAAATGTAAAAAATATGGGACAACAAGCATTACTATAAATCATTTTCTTTGAATTTGCCATGATATATTATACAAAGCCATGAATATAGTCAATGCTCAGGAAATATTTTCTCCTGTCAAGTATTCATATTTCACTGAGGCAAACAGGCACAACTAATTATAATAAAAGTATTCTAAGAAATTAACAGAAAGTGCTATGGGAATAGTGGAGAGAAAGTGCCTAATTCTTTCCAGGATTTATGAAGCTAGGAATGGGCAGAGATTACATGTTTTCAAAGCTTTCGGGGCGATTTGAATCTATGGCTTGTCCTAGATATCAGAGCCAGTTCAGGGATGCTGGGCGCAGAATCCATCACCACATTTTGACCAAGTCTGGATGTATGCTGGACTTTCTTTGCTGAGAGCCCTTCTAAATTAATTATCTCAACTGGGACCCCAGAAATCATAAGAGGAAGTTTTTCCATTTCACTAATCATAATATGCTAGATTAGGCATAATATAATTACCTAAATTGAATTCAGAGTCTCACACTTCTGTGAATTGCTGGAAACAGTGCCACGTGAACCTGTTCATGATGCACACATTCGAGGCTTACTGCGCATAGCACCGCTGGCATCTAGGTTAAAGGATGTTTGAATAGCAAACAATCTTTGAAAACCAAAGACAGAGACCTCCCAAGAGACCTAGAAACATCTCCCGTAGAGACATCTGCTTACATTCTCAGGATAATAAACCTGGGAAGACAATGTATTTACTTTAGAATGTTAATGTCTTTCTCTCTCTTTTCCAGGGGAAAGATCGGTAGCTGGCTCAGCCACACCATATAAATTCTGAGATTCCTAGTTTCTGAGTACCTCTCCTGTGGTACCAACCCCTGAATGTGCAGGGTATATCAAATTGTCTCCTCCTGGGGGATTGGAGTGTGGTGAGTCAGTGCTAAGATTGTTACATAAGTAAATAATTTGTCTGTTCTCTGATCCAGAAACCTCATTCCCTATCAGGAATAAACAGAGATGTAAACATTGAATAATTATCTCTTGATTCATTCTTTCAAAGTTTTCCTTTTGAAATTTTCCTGTCACTGATATGTGCATCATTTTTTTACATTTTTACAAAGTCATTTTACCAAGTGATTTTTAAAATTCTTACAGTATATGAGGAACCTTTGGATTTGTAGAGAATGATTACAATTCTTCCTTCGTTAAATATATATTATGGGACTAGGATTGTGACATAGTGGATAAAGCTGCTGCCCACAGTGCTGTCATCCAATATAGGCGCCGGTTTGTATCCTGGCTGCTCCAATTCTGATCCAGTTCCTTGCTAATAGCTTTGGAAAAGAAACAGAAGATGGCCTAAGTGCTTGGAGCCCCCCACCTATGTAGGAGAACTGGAGGAAGCTCCTGGATCCTGGCTTCAGCCTGGCCCAGCCTCAGCTGTTGTGGCCATCTGGGGAGTGAACCATTGGATGGAAGATCTTTCCCTGTCTTTCCCTTTCTCTGCAGCTTTGACTTTAAAATAAATAAAAAAAATTAACATAAACATATATATATATATTTCCACATCTATCATCAGAAATTAAGACACTAATTTGAAATTTTAGACTCTACTATCTAAAAATTATTTACAAAATCCATACTCATTTTTCATCCTTGCATGTTGGCTTTCAACTTTTATGCTGTCTCTTCTCAGTATCCTTTGCAGACTCCTCTATCTTACCTGCTTCTTGAGTAGCTTTGTTTTTTTTTTTGCATTTTTAATTGATATATAATATTTGTACTTGTATTTGGTATATAATTTCATAACTTAATGCCTGTACATATGGGAAGTGATCAAAGCTGGATGGCATTTGACATTTACATATTCTCAAATATTATCATTCCTATGTCTTAAGAACTTTTCAAACCTTCATTCCAGGTTATTATAAAAATGTGTAATCAATTGCTGACCACAACTACCCTGTTGTGTCCCTTACATATCGAGTCCCCATTTCAAGCCTATTTCCTCATTCTACTCACTTTCCTTTAAAGATGATTCCCAACTCCACACATCCATCTCAGAATTCTCACCTTGTAGTCCTATTTTATATTCTGTTGTGTCATTGACTTTTTCACTTCAATATTTCACAAGCATCTCAAACTCACAGCCTGAAAATGGAACTCATCACCTTTGTATTCTCAATCTTTTCTCCATTTATGCCTTCCAATCTCAGTGACTGGTAACAAATCACATAGATACCAATCTGAAGTTCGTACCATTATCTTTCCTTCCAAAATCTGACCATCTAAACCTAATTCTTAAACACTCGTATGTTGTTTACTTCTCTTGAACAGAACCTTTAGTGACTTAAAACAGTTCCTTTATTTCTCAGATATTACTATAATAGTCTACTAACTTCTGTCTGCTTTGAACTTTCTCTCTGCAATCATCTATTTTCTCTA